TATTAATTATGGAAGAGGTGAAAAATAAACTGAACAGAATGGCCTCAGACAAATGAATGGGACAGCTATAACTTGAATGCCGTGTGCAGTTCTAGTTATGCCTTCCGTAGGAAAGGTAATTAAAATAATCAGGGACAGGAGCAAACTGAACAGACAAAAACAGACAATGCATAGTTAAACTGTGGGATTGGAAGATGTAGGACAGCTGCTAATTTGGACAGCTTGAAATGGACTTGGACAAATTCATGGCAGACAAAGCTATCGATGGCTACAAGTCATGGTGTCTATCCATACCTCAGATCAGAAGTATCCTTTCTCTTAACAGTCATAATAGAATTTTATACAGCCTTCTGAGTCAATCAAGCCATCATTATTTTCTCTTTTAATAATTTGAAGATTTCTGCTAGGGTGGTATTGCTTATGATGTTACAGCTTTATTGGTTTTATACTTTATACAAGCTGCTGTTTATCTCTGTATTACAACATCTGGCAATATACAACACACAAGATTTGATGACAAGGTGTACTTCTTCAAAATCTCTGGAAGGACAGGAGTTGCTATTTTTGTTTTCATCTTGATGTTTACAACTTGACCTTATATTTCACAATTAAAATATGTTAAGTGTTCTTTTCCTGGTAAGGTTTTTCTGGGTATAAAATTATTTGCTTGAACATTAGCTTTTATGCAGCTATGCTGGAGTTGTTTTGTCTGAGGATTTTGTTCACCTCCTGCCAGTGAGTTTCTGTTGTTCTGTTGCTGAATGTTATGGAGTAATTTTTGAGAATATGGCTGGGTATTTTAAGGATGGAAACAGTAAGCCTCCAATTCCCACTGTTAAGGGAAAGCTGCATACAATTGTTTGCTCTCTTATCGTGTGGGGATATAATTCCATCAACCTTAAGGTTCTGCAGCCCACCTAATTGTCAGAAAGTAATAGACTCAGAAATAGTCTCCTTTGGTTTAGAAAAGGACCAACAAGAAAGCATATGGGTTCAAAAGCTCTCCTTGGTAGAAGCTGTTGATGCTGCCTAGCAAGATCTTTCAACTTTTCAGTTTGGTTTTTCAATGCCAAGGAACATTGACTGATGTTGACTTGTCTACATGTAGGTCACCACTGGGCCATAACCTTTTCCTTATTCTTAGTGCTGGGGCAGAAGTCTGAGCTGTTAAACTATATCTTGCTTAAGAATCCTTTGTTGAGAAAATCACAATTAGCTGGGTTCACCATCGCAATAAACCCATGTGTACATACATTATGAATTAACATATAATGTTAACACCCAGGCAGAGGTGGGTTTCAGCAGGTTCTGACCAGTTCTGGCGAACCGGTAGCGGAAATTTTGAGTAGTTCAGAGAACTGGTAGTAAAAATTCTGACTGGCCCCACCCCCATCTATTCTCTGCATCCTTAGTCCCAGCTGATCGGGAGGAAATGGGGATTTTGCAGTAATCTTCCCCTGGATTGGGGAGGAATGGAGATTTTACAGTATCCTTCCCCTGCCACACTCACCAAGCCACGCCCACCAAGCCATGACATGCCCAACAGGCCACACCCACAGAATCGGTAGTAAAAAAAATTGAAACCCACCACTGCACCCAGGGCTAAGTATGATTCCAACTATCTGCTTTTCATGGATCTGCCTGTCTTATGCTTATCAAGGTGAGCAAGCTGTGGTTTTTGAGACAGAAGAATGAGATATGCTATCAGAGGGAGGAAAGCTAAGAACCAAGGATGCTGGTCCCTTTGAATAGTTTTGAAATGGAGAAACCACGGCCTCCCTTCTCTCCAGCCATTAAAAAAAAATAGCAGTAAAAAAGATAGACAGATGGAACCTGCAGCCAGAGATGATCAACCTGAGGTCAAATAACCTATTAGCTGCTGCCAGAAAGGATGCCAACATCATTTAATGTTACAGAAATTCATAGTGAAATTGACAGGATCCAACTAATGGGCATTAACATGAGAGATTAGAAATGAGCATTGGAAGTCTGGCTAAGGCACCATGAAATGACAGGAAAGGGAAGGCAGGCTGAATGCAAGGACTGGTTTTGAATGAAATTAGTTGAATCCAAGTGAAGTTTATAACAAAATGTTGCAGATGGAAGGCATCCGGTTCAGGACTCCAGTTGTCTCAATGTCATTCTCCTCTTCCATTGATCTTTTTGATGTTAAGTTATCAACATTTTGTGACCTTTAAGATACTCTTAACCTTCAGTACTTAAGAGCTCCCATTTTTGGTACTTGTAAACTTTAGGATTCAGATAGATTTGCAGTAAAAAAAGCTCTTTTCTGTAATTGTTTACCATAATCTTGTATGGACACTTTGCAATAATGAATTACATTTGATTTTGCTTTAATGTGTTATTGTGCCATGCTTTCCTGGTTGATGTAGAATATGATGTCAATTTACAAGAATATATAGCAGATACCAGTAAAAGAGAATATCTGTAGCTCAGGGTTGAAATGAAGAGTCCTTGGTGCTCTCTGAGCTTGTTTTCTTGCAGACATTTCATTACCCAAATTAGGTGCTAGTTTGGGTAGTGAAACAACTAAGCACAGAGAGCACTAAGCACACACACACCCATAGCAGATAGAAATTAGTACACTTTCCAATTTAAGAGTTGCTGAGCTGCAGTTCCCAGCCTTTCACCATATGAGCGTCTCAAAAACCTGACTCTTGTGTATGTCACCAGATAGAAAAGAAGTGGCTTCAATTGCAAGACCCCTCACTCCATCTTGCAAATTTTGGCACCACTGCCTTTCCATCAGTTTGCCATGATTATCTGGAATTATAACATTCCGGATGTTGAGTTCCCTGTTCTCTACTTATCTGGAGCAGCAAAATAAATTCTTGAGGTATAGAATTGTCTCTTTACAGTTCAGTTTAATTAACTCCTGCCATTTTCTTCATCTTTGTTTGTAAATGGGGTGCAGTCAGTTCCATCAGTGAATACCTTTGACCTGCTTACTATGAGTTAAGAAAAAGACCATGCTCAATCTTCTAGGCCAGTGTTTCTAATTTTGGCATGACATACTGGGTGGGGAATTCTGGAAGTTGAAATCTCCCAGGTAGACTTCAGAGAAAACAAAAGTTGCCAATGTTGAGAAACATTGGACTAGGCAGCTCCTCTCAACCTTTTGGTGAACTTTTAGGAGGAAAGACTAGAGAATGAAGCAAGAATACTTCTGAACGATCTGAATGGTGACCATTAGGATTTTTTTTTATTCTTTCTTTACAATTCATAGCTGAATGTGTGTACCAACTTAACTGAAGCTTTATGTTTTGATTAGTCTTGGGACTACAAATAACGAAAGCGAATGAGATGCGGTTGAAAGATTTCCCTTCTCTAAAATGGACACCTTCACTATATGTTGTGGTAAACTGTTCCAAAAAATATACTGTCTGTAATGTACTGCATTACATACATGCTTTGATCCAGTGGTGGGGTTCTGCTGGTTCGGCGATTGCACATTTTGCATGCACAGTTTTACAAATACTAACCTTCTGGGTTACCACTTGGGAGTAACACAGTGGTGGCGCGGCAATCCGCTCTGCCGCGCCAATCAGCTGAGAAGATAAAGATAAGTAAAGTGCAGGGGTGGGTGGGCCAACCTGATCGTTGGAACGAACCAGTTCTCTCCCAGCTGATCATCGGAGCTACCGGTTCGCCCAAACTGGTCCAAACCGGTAGAATCCCACCCCTGCTTTGATCTAAGAATTTATTGCTATCCACCTTCTTTAGAAGATCTCCAATATTTATGTTAGAAAGCAACAGGAAGAACATTTCCTTATTGAGAGTTGAATTTTGCTTATGTCTGGCATGTACTGTACTCCCTTCCTTGCCTTAGCTAAATTCTGAAACTACAAACCTTTTTTTTTAATCAAAATTTTTATTGTGGTTTTCGTTTTCCAAAATTCCAGTACATAATCGATCAGACAGTGATACTTTTCCTTTTATACTAGTATTTATCCATTTTTAATTCGGATATCAATCCACCTGTACCAATTATCCCACACTGTATAGTATTCTAAATCCTCTTTTTCATTTAATGTTAGTTTATTCATTTCGGCACAATTGAATATTTTTTGAATAATAGATTCTCCTGGTGGTATATTGTTTCCTTTCCAATGTTGTGCATATGTTATTCTCGCTTCTGTAAGTATGTGTATGATTATATATCTTGTTTTTTTGTCATATTTAGTCTTTAGCACTCCCAGGAGAAAAGTTTCTGGAATCAATTTGATTTTATTATTAATTAATTATTGTATCCAATTTTGTATTTTACTCCAATACCTCTTCGCTTCGGGACATGACCACAACATATGGAAGTAGGTACCTTAATGATGCCCACACTTCCACCATTTAGGACTTACATTCGGATAGATTTTTGCCAATCTTGCAGGCGCTAAGTGCCATCAGTATAATATTTTATATTAGTTTTCTTTGTATGATGCCGCTTTAGTTAATTTGTAGATGAAACTACAAATCTTGTCCCAGTCTTCAGATAGGAGTGGGTCCAAAGGCAGTCATTCTTCATTGAGGAACAGGTGTGAAATAAATCACGTAGACACATATATGAACTGGAAGGGGGTGTACAATGTTTCCAGTTCAAAATGGGATGTTGGTCTGACCATTCTGGAAAGGCTCCAAGCTTGCAATGTCCTATTTATGAGCTTAAATAGGAATTCTGAACTTCAGCAAAGCTGGTTTTGGACTCAGAATACTTTCAGAACCATCAGAGCAGAAGAAGATTGGAACAGCTGTTTTTCACTCAACATGTTTATCATGCCACTAATGAACAAGGGTTTTGATTCTTCTGATGCAAGATTACAGTGTGATTTTATTAAAGGGCAGCACCTGGGGTCCTCCTACTATAGAAACAAACAAGCATGTGACAATGTGACTGGATTACAAGAAAAGAGCCGTCTACTCTTTATGACTATGAAAAAGGAAAAGCTATATTTGATTTTTTTTTTTAAATGACGGAAACATGGCCATTTCAAAGCAAAAGACTTTGATTCAGTACATTATGAGCAAAACATTCACATAGATTATCCACAATTGTTTTACAAGGTATGCCCTTAAAACAATGCTCAGTTATGTACGTACACGTTTATACATTTTTTCATTTGAACTATTACCAAAGGTACTTGGACCACAATGAAAATAAACAAACAACAATCTCTGTTCCCCTCTCTCCATCTTTTTATCTAAACTCAACGCCACCCAAACCCCCATGCATATGAACAGCAAAACAGACGATTTAAGATACAAAAATGTGATTTTTTTTTTTATCATGGAATGAGCAGGATCTTCATTCGCTGTTCTTCAGTTCCATAATATACAGTACATTCACCAAAAGATTAGGAAAAAAAATGTTCACAATGCCTATAAGTTCCCTTTTTTAAATTTAAAAAAATGTAAATGCACCCTTCATTAAAAACAGTTCCATCAATAATTTTAACATTTTAATTCGGAGGTTTCAGGTGCAAAAGCCATATGGAAGTCCAAGGTACATGAGAGGATACAGAAATGACTTTTCCTTGCTCCCCAAGTGAGGCTGCCAGACCTAATTTTTTTATTGCTGTAGGCTTGATTTCCCCCCTTCCCCTTTTTAAAATCTCATTGCTCAAATCTGTTGTTACTGTTCTGGGTTATGCTCAAAATCAGGAATGGAGAATTGAATCCTACAGCAATGTTTCTCAACCTTGGTGTCTTTAAGATGTGTGGACTTCAACTTCCAGAATTGCCCAGCAACCCACCTTAAAATTGCCAAGGTTGAGAAACACTGCTCTAGAGGAATGATTTGCAAATTGTAATACAGAAATAAAAAGGGGAAATGTTATTTTGATTGCTAATTGAGCAACATATTTATGACAGTTATACCTAAAATATAATTGGATTAAAGAAGAATGCAATAAATCACTGATTGAGGCATGGGAAAAAAACCAAGCACTACTGATTTGAAAGAATCCATATTTTCACCGGATATTCCCAGCAATGCTTCCACAGTTATGTGAGTTTACAAAAGCATCTCTATGTCACAAAAAGAAAATGCTACTATTATTGTGTGGGAAAACAAGTATTTTTTCCCCCAGAGGAAGAAAGTTATAGAATTGCTGCAATAAATCTGTCAAATAATGTGCTGTATACCACTGCCTTTCACAACACTGAAATATCTTCTAAAGAAAATGGGGGAGGGGGGGAGAAAGGTAAAGAATAGAATTTCTAAAGCAGTTAGCAGAACCAGCCAACTGGTATTATTTTTCTGAAGACTTAAATCCTCTTTGGGGATAGCATGGCTTCCATTGATTTCAATTGATGCTAGAGGGGTAGAAAAAAACAACCCGAGAAAGAAAGGCTTACAGAGGTATCCATTAACTTGAATGAAAGAACAGCTTTGACATTCCAGCTAAAATTCTTTGGCCAAAATGCTAAAATTCCAACTGAGCAAGAGCTTGGCATGTTCACAGCCAACAATCTGCTAAAGCTCTTCTCGAATTGGAACAGTTTTCCCCGCTAGAGCATAATAAAATCGGATACAAGCTAGTGAAAGATATAGCATGGCTCAGTGGAAGAGTACATGCGTACTCTGTAAAAAGTCACAGATACAGATCTTCCTATCTCTTGGAACAGTAGAGGGCGAAACCTGCCTAAAAATCCTACAAAGTTTATTTTTGAGCAAAAGAATATTACATATTAACAACGATGTTTCTAAACTCAGTCGCTGGTTAAGAAGGGATAATCCAAGTTGGGGGAAATGTGATGCCACTGAGGGTAGGTAACAGTTGAAATGGGCTACCAAAATTGAGATGGTGTAAGGTAGATTTCTTATGTTGCCCTTAAAATATTCACAGCATGTATATATCCTATATAAATCAGAAGAGGTAAACATAATATAGCAGCTGCATCAAATACTGCATCAAAGAAACTAAATTGGATTTAGACCATGCAAGCAATAATCTTTAAAAAGAAAATCTTAACTCACCTAAAAATTAAAATCTGTACCAGCTCCAAAGATGATGCTGACTATCCAGTTCCCAAAACTAGAGCATTGATCATGGAGCTTGTTCTGGCACAGATGTACTTTCATCCCTCTTACACTATAATAGGTATATATATATATACACACATATAGTGGTAAAATGTTACCCCCGATTACCAGACTATTAAATTCTTTTTCAATGCTGTTGGTTTAACACTGATTCAAATTTGCATTTTTCTGAACTTCAGTACCAAGTACCTCTAAAAAGAAATGATTGCAGGTTGAAGTTGCTTGGAATGTAATTTTTTAAAAATATCACCAGGCTTTTGTCTCCAGGCACCTACTATTTTAATACATTATAATTCACCAGAGAAAGATAATAATTCATCAAAGAAAGCACCACTACCATCCAAATTAAAACTGGCTTACACTTAACCTATGCAAGGTTTCTACCCCAACTATTAACTCAGATACCTTTCTTGAAATATAGACTGTAAATTAATCTAGGTAAAGCCATGACTTTTTTTCTCCTTATGTTTTATGGTAAGGTACCATCAACATTGACAGAACTATAGCAAATTGTTATTTCAAGCATTTATAAACTGGACTCTCTCTCTCTGGAATTCACAGCAGCTTCATTTAAAGGACTAATTTGCAAGGAATCAGACTTTGGGAATCTGATACTCACTTTCTGATCACTGTAGCAAAAATGAAAGATCTTAGAGTAGTAAGTTATGTGATCTATACTCTTTATATAACTTGAATATTTGCCCTCTTGAAAGATGTTCGGTAGAACCTGTCTATACGCAACCATTTTACCACTTTGTGGTCAGAAGGAATATTTATTAAAGCTGCATCTCCAAAAAGGTCCTGGAAGAGTCATGAAAGTTGAAGTTTTAACTGGAGTGGATTATGCTGAGATGTTTGCAGTTCTCACTCTTAATGGCACATCTGAAAACATATTGGAAGTTCCACTGAGTGGGTCATATTTAAGCTGAAGGTGACTTATAGCTAAGTGTCACTTAATAGCATTTTTTAGTGTTACATTAGAAAGTAGAAATGTACTTCCATTCTTCCCAATACAATCCTGAGACCTTAAATTGGGTCCCTTTCCTGGATATGATACCCACATCCATACAGATTTCCCTCCTGTGTCACTGGCATCTGTCCATAAAAGAATTCCCAGGAGGACATGTTTTTACTATATCATATGCTAAGGGATGACCTGGGCATAGAAGTGTATTTTGAATGGCAAGCTAAGAACCAAAGTTTCTTCCAACAAGGGAGTGCAAAGCAGCAGCAAAACATCCCAAATAGGTTTCTTATGAAAGGCTTCAAAAAAGGACGAAAGCCCTTTGAATCTAATGCAACTCTGTGTTATGACTAAAAAGCTGTTGAGGTTTGACCAAAAAGTCCTGGATACTATGAGTACGTTAGCTAGCAGATTAATTTGCAGTGCTGGCTGTATATAAAATATGTCATACGTATACAGCAGAAATCACAGATCCTTTTTCTAAATTAATTCTAGAACAGACCAAGACTAGCAATTAAGGGGCAGGCAGATGTTCTCGACTCCCACTAGATCTGTCCTTGTGTTTTAAGAATGGCCCAGACTGTACACAATTAACAGCAAGAGATATTCTAAGAATAAGAGACAGTTTGTGCTCTATAATCTGGCAATTACAGTACTTAGGGGAATTGCATTGACCCCTTTCAACCATTTCTTCCCCCAAGAAATCAAGCTGGGGTTTCTGGAACACCAAACCAGGGCAACTGTAATGTTGGTGTATTATACACCAATTCCTCTCAACTCAAAGAGTAAAGTAAAGCAGCGAAGAATCTATTTGGGGGGACGAGACCCCTAAACTATCATTTCTGAATTTATCCTGCCTTTAAAAATGGCTGCACAAAGTGTTTCCTGTTATTAAAGATTAAGTTGCAAGCAGCTCTATTTAGAAGTGCAGGAATTTACAAGGAGGGCTTTGTTTTACTCTAATTCTGCATTTTATCCTAATTTTTACAGATTTACAGAAACTACCCAATGGGTTAGAGGCTGTAAATGTTGCTGAACTTCCATCAGCCTTAGCTAACATAGCCAGTGGTGCAAGATGTTTCAAAACTATAATCCAATGACACAGAAAGAGCCCTAGGTCCCCTGTCCCTGCCTTATACATTAGGGTTTTCAGCCTAATATGATCACCTCTAAAAGCCATTTTAGCATTTAGCCCATTGCATTTTCTTCAGGGGAAAAGAAGGGTTTCAAGTAGTTGTGAGAATTTCAAACTTTTCCACACTTTCTTGTTTTGACTTTGTACATCTTTCTCTAGTTCACACCAACTTAGAGGTGGTTTTTTTTTTTAAATAGGGCCTCTCATCAACACTTCTGCCCTTTTCCCCCCCAAAAAGAGAGTTGGTTCTCTAAAGCAGGGGTCTCCAACCTTGACAACTTTAAGACTTGTGGACTTTTACTCCCAGAGTTCCTCAAAGCTGGCTGAAGAATTCTGGAAGTTGCAGTCCACAACTCTTAAAGTTGCCAAGGTTGGCGACCCCTGCTCTAAAGGGAAAAAGACACAGCACTTTGAATTAAATTTGTTCAGGAGTTGCTCACAAATAAAACAGCCCTTCAGTGATTATGTCAAGCTTTCACCTCAGCGGTCACCTGTAACCAGACAAAACAATTCATAATACCATAAAAACAGTGAATGAATTTGAACGGCAAACTAGACTCTCTTATTGGGAGCTACTAATGCAGCTCGGAGATCAAATGTTGATTGAGCATGCTGCTAATCTGATACATTGAACTACATTACAGTATTGTTAAGTTACACCCAAAAGTGATTTTTTTTTCCTCCCCGGTTTTAGAACTAAGTGTTCTAAAGGACACATCAAGTAAGGGGATTGTCTTTAAAATAATATCTGTCTACCCATCTAATTTAATTATACATATTGATAGTCTTGAAGAGGGTACATATCCACCCATGCAAACCTCCAGACTCTACAGACTTTATAAATAATGAACAAAAGTTAGCTATGGCTAACAAAAGTATGCACACTCCTTCAAAATGGCCATTAAAGAGGCAACGTTTACGCAATTTCATCAAATGCGAACCAAAGCAGTAACCAAATGGACTTCAGCTTCCATCTGTGCATGTGTCAACCTGCCTGCAAATTGCGTGTCGATCACCCGGTGCAGCCAAGAGGGAGAAGTCACAAGCGCTATCTTTCTGGTTGAACACTTTAACATTAACTGTCTTGCCTCCAACGGTACTATAATAAATAAGGCAAGACTATACAGCCCTTGAGCTCTGCTTCTTTGTTTATAGTTTACAAGTTCGTTTGTTATTTTTTTTAAAAAGGAAGTAGTACAAACCCAAGATTTGCCCAAGCCAACTTCTTTCTCCAATTGGAAGAGCTTTTGGCTAAGCAACTGTTGATGCAGGGTAAGGAACACAGGTGTTGTCAGAAAACTATTTTAATTATTTACAGAATGATCATTGGAAGGATTACATAAAATACAGAAGAAAAATGTACACCTCTAACAGAAACGAGAAAAAAAAAATGATGTCACACAAACTCACAGACTATAGGGTAACAAAAGCACTTAAATAAGGCAAACAAGGAACAAAAGGGTAGGGGGAATCACAAAGACTACATGGGAAATAAAACAGAAATGCAAATTGAGGTTTTGTGTTTTTCAAATGGAAAGTTTTTTTAAAAAAATCAAGATGCAAAACAGATGATGTTCCCACTAGCAAAATTTTGCTCACGCCAGCAGCCATTATTAGAATTACTGGTGCATTCAACCTTCTCTAACATAGCCTGAAACTTGCCACTTCCACCACACAAACTTCCCAGCACTGATGGGAATGCCATCTTTGCGAAGTTTCACATTTTATCTCCTACAATACACACTGTGTGGCTGCGTGTACAGTTTTAAATTGTGCAAGAACAGGGAAAGTTGTTTCGCCTCCCTCCTCCAACTAAGGAGGTTACACTACAGCACTCGAGATTCAATTTTGCTGCCAATGCATTTTGAAATCAATTCCCTTGCAAAGAGGGACTTTCTGTTAAAAAAGGGATTTTGAGCCTTGGTTTTCAAATTCTGACCACGCATCATTCAGCTCCATGAAGATCATTTTGGCATAGTGCTCATAAGGCTGCCCCGTAGCCTGTAAACAAACAAACAAAAAACTGAATTACAGTGCAATTGTTCAACTGCAAAAGCAAGCAAGCTTAACCTGCATCACAAGCAATTAGCTTCATTTCTGGAGTTAAGAAGAAATCCCCGATAATATTACTATCTGCACACTGAGTTCCTTTAGTCACAATTTTTTTTTTCAAAGAAGGATGCATGCACTGAATGAGCTATGAACTGCGTTTTTTTTTTCTCAGTGGGACATGATCGACCAATTTGCCCATTAGAGATGAACAAGAATGGTTCAGATGTCAATATGGAACCACATGCCACTGAGGACAAACTATCTGAATGATTTCTCCTTCCTGTTCCAGAAACAGTCAGCAGGTAGTCCGTGATTTACAACTCTTTGAAGTTATGACAGGACCCTCCCCCACAAAAGAAGTTACTTATGATCCAGTTCCAAAGTTAGCTGCCCCCCCCCTCAGTCATGTGACTGCATTTTGGGCCCTTGGCAACTAGCCGACCTATATGGCATTTTTGCCAAAAACTGGCATTTACATTCAGGTTGGGAAGGTTGGAATGGGCAGGTTGCCTTAAGGTTCTCAAGTCGAGGCCTACTTATAGAGCCACAGTGGTTAGAGTGCAGTACTGCAGGCTACTTCTGCTGATCACCGGCTGCCAACAATTTGGCAGTTCGAATCCCACCAGGCTCAAGGTTGACTCAGCCTTCCATCCTTCCGAGGTGGGTAAAATGAGAACCCAGATTGTTGGGAGCAATACGCTGACTCTGTAAACCGCTTAGAGAGGGCTGTAAAGCACTATGAAGCGGTATATAAGTCTAAGTGCTAGTGCTAGAGTCAGAAACCTTGCTCCCTGAAGCAACCACCACAAGAAGGATGATAGCAACTCGCCTATCTTTGTGTATATTCCATAAACCAGGAAGATTTGACGAAGCACTTCAATGATCCGCTATATATTGTTTCTGTGGTGGCAAACCATGCTTGTTTTTAAATACTGCACACCCAAAGCAACGGCAGTTAGCAGAGAGCGTGATGCAGTTTAACTTTTGACAACAGCAGTATGCAGGGTGGATTTGATTTAAATCGAGTTGATTTCAATCATGATTTCAATCACTAGTAAAAAGGCTTGATTTAAATCAACTCGATTTAAATCATAATTTTTAAAGAGCAACTGTCATCTCTGCTATTCCTTTGACCCACTGTTGACTCACCGATAGTCCCAGTTGCAGAATATACAACCTCATGCTACATAACTAAGCTCCATTTCATGCTGAATAAACTAAATTATTTATGTATCTTAAATAGAAAACTATCTTACGATAGATTTTTACCCCAAAAGTTTTTTATTAAAATAAATTCGATAAAAATCAAAAAAATCCGATAAAAATCAAAAAAATCCGATAACAATAAAAAAAAATCCGATTTAAATAAAAAAAATCTGATTTTTTTGATTTTTTTTTAAAAAATATTGATTTTTATCCACCCTGGCAGTATGTGTGTGGGAGGGGAGCTGGTAGTCATAATTCAAAAATGAGTCATTGGTACCTTTTTTGAAGAGGGCCATTAAACAACCGGTTGTAAGTTAAGGTCTACCTGTAATTAACATTCATGTGAATGTTAATTACTCTATCCATTTGTGAGTATTTACCAGACACTCACCTTATCTGGATGAACGACAAGCACTGCTTTTCTATAGTACTTTTTGACCTGGTCAGGGGTAACCAGGTCTGCCATCCCAACCGGCTTCCATTTGGTTTCACCTTCCCAAAGCACAGTGTGAAGAGTAGATAATAAAGCTCTTATGTTCCTCTCTTTTCCATCAATCCAGTCTAGAAGCTGGCGGGAGAAACGGGAAGGAATGGAAATTCACATAAGCCAAATGCTGCACAACATTTCATTGACATCATTTGTTTCTTTTTATTGCTACCCGCAGCAATATTTGTTAACTGACAATGTCCATATGCAATGATTTAATACACTCTTTCTAACAGCCACTGACCCACTTTGCTTGTGATGAGTTCACAACTGCTTCTGCTTATCTATTATAGCACTGAGCTAATCTCCGCTTAAGATCACCATTTCTTAATATACAGAAGCTTTTACACATTTGTTTTTCCTATCAATGCACCTATTGGCTCTCAACCCCAACTGTGCAACTCCTTGACTTGTTACACTCTCAGCCCCTTGTCTCACAATAGATATTCCTTACATTGATAGGCATGCTTTTCAGGATCTTTCCTGGCTCTGCTACTTGACTTCCTTTTAACTGAAAATGCCAAAGACAGAACCTGAGATCTCTTACTTATGCCCACTAAGGCAGGGGTGTCAAACTCAGGGCCTGGGGGCCGGATCTGGCCCATGGGGTGCTTAGATCTGGCCCGTGGGGCCACCCTGGAAACACCGAAGCACCAACTCGCAGTGCCTCTGCCAGTGAAAACGGAGCTTGGGAGGGCCTCCCCGCAAGCTCCGTTTTCTCTGGCAGAGGGTTGCAGGAGGCTGTTGCAGCTGAAAACGGAGCTCCGGAGCGTGCTCGGGCCACCACAGCACCCTTGTCACAAGTGATGTAAAGCTGGCCACGCCCATCCCGACTTCCTGAGGTCAAACACAACACTGATGCAGTCCTCAATGAAATCAAGTTTGACACCTCTGCACTAAGGCATCCACCTTCCTTCCTACTGCACTTTATTTTGTAACCTTTGCCTCTTACATTGCAAATTCTTTTTGCACTGCGTATAGTCCACTTCTTGGTTGAAAACACGGCAAGAATCTGAAGCAAGGGGAAATGTTCATCATAAATGCGACAAACCTTTAATTTTAGAGGGTCCATATCTTTAGATAGTTCTTGCTTTCTCATCTCAGCAATGGTTCTGGATCCTTTTTTGTCACATTTTGCTGAAAAGCCTTGATTTGACAAAAGGTCTTCAAAATCATTTTCTGAAACTTTGGGTTTGTGTCCTGGCAAAGAAGAAAAAAAAAGCTAGGCATTTTCCTGTTGATAGAAACTTTACACAGAAATTGCAGATTTGTTATTCATTATTCATGTTGGTGATTATTGAGCCACTATCTTTTAGGAAACTTATATCCAGAGGTGGTATTCAGCCAGTTCGTATCGGTTCAGGCGAACCGGTAGCGGCGACTGCGGGTGCCCCAGCGTAATGCTGTCCTATTTAGCCATATTTCCGAGGCCGGGTGTATGTGCAGAAGGCGTGCGCGCAAGCATAGCGCATGTGCAGAAGGCCGGGTGCATGCACGGAAGGCACATGTGTGAAGTGAGCATGTGCGCTCGTGGAGAACCAGTGTTAAGTGTTGTGACCCAGGCCCAAGAAAGTAGTAGGAAAATCAGTCAGTGAAAAAACAGACTTTATTCGAACAGCTGAGAATTACTTCATTCCCAGCGTCATTCAACTAAATTAAAGCAAATTCCTCCCAACACAAATTCCTCAGTCCTATCGCAAACCTTGGTCCAATTAGGCAAACTGCCAAAGGCCTTTCTTGGCAAACGTTCAGAAGTCACAGATACAAAAATAAATACAAGACATAGATGAAGAAGAAGATGAAGCTACCAACGTTGTTTTCTGGCAAAGCCTAAACGCCGTTGCTGGTCTGTTTTAAGCCTTATGGGAGGGGCCAATCATCTCTTAGCCCTACTCCCAAATTGTCCTCTTTGCTTGAGCTGCTTTTGCCTTCTGGCAGCTCTTCTCATGCGTGCATTAGGAAGAGGCTCCTCCTGTTCCTCTGCCTCACTCCTATCAGTCTCTGGAGGCTCTGGAGTCCGCACCTCACTCCCCGATGGCCCTGGCCCCATCTCTGCCTCCGACGCAGAACCCTCATCCGGGCCTTCCCCAGCCTCCAGGATTGGCCCATGTTCTTCCTCAGCCTCATTGCTGTCCTACTCCACTGCCAGCTCCGCAGGCTGCTGGCGGATCACAACAGTAAAAATATGTGAAACCCATCGCTGGTTATATCTCCTTGCTCAGAAACAAATCCAACTTTTTTCAACAGGGCTTATTCCTGAATTAGTGTGTTCCTTTGATGCAGACTAAGGGGGAAAAACTGATGACTTACTAAACTCTTATCTTCCTTATAAGGCCACTAGATATTACAAGTCAATTCGATCAATTACTTGTTATTTACATGTTTCCAGTTAAGAATCTCAGCATAGCCCAGAAATTAATGGTGAGATCTGAGAAAATCTTGGTTCAAGAATTTCATCATAGCCACAGAATGATTAGGTAGCATCAGGTGAGTAAACATTCCTATTCATTTTCTTCTTTCAGTCTACACCTCTCACATTGGCAGTGTAAGAGATCTATACTGGTGCAATTAGTAGCAGCATTCAACTTTTTACTATATTCAGAGAATGACTAGATGACCTTGGATTAACCATTATGGAAGATGTGCTCTGAAGCTGAGAACTCCTCAGACCTCTGTTAAAGCAGGAATAGACAACTTGTAGTACTCCAGCTATTGTTGAATTACAACTGTCAGCAGTCCTCACCAACATTGAGCAAAGATGAAGGATGATGGAAGAATTCCCAGCCAAAGAAAAAAAGTTTCATTCTATTGACTGGAAAAGACTCTACCCTGCCCAGGATAATGGAGATAAAGAGTATCCCTTATACTTTCTTTAAATGAAAAAAAAAAAAAAAGTTCTGTAGGCAATCCTCATGTCCAACCCATCAGCTTCCTGGACAAGCGTAAAAAGCCCCAATTGGCTAAATACACACATTTTTAATGAAAAGAAAAAAGAAGGAATGTTCATAAATTTAGATGTACACTCCTTAAATTGTGAAAGCTGGGGATCTACATAAATCAATTTGACTGTGCTAGAATTGCCTTCCCGAGCCTAAACACAGCCAGCCCATCTTGTAGAGTCAATCAGATTATTTAATTAGATTTAAATTCCAAATCCAGAGCAACTTAGAGCAGCTCATAGCAACATAATACAAACACAAAATATAATATCAGAATCTGTATAGGCAACTCATTACATAGAGAGAGAGAGAGGGAGTGGGAGCAAGGAAGAGAGAGAGGGAGAGGAGAGAGGAGGAGAGAGAGAGAGAGAGAGAGAGAGAGAGAGAGAGAGAGAGAGAGAGAGAGAGAGAGAGAGAGAGAGAGAGAAATCTAACAAGTTATCACATCCACTTTCATTTTACCATACAGAAGCATGGAGCAAACTTGCCCTATGCAGGCCAAGCAGATCACATTTCAGCCATATAGTGGGAGTTGCCCTCTCTAATGTAAATTAAAAAAAGAGAGAGGAAATGAATGGAGGAATTTGGAAGTAGGTACGCTCTGTTTCAAGGGATACTACATTTTGTCTATGTGAACGACCTAAAAAAAAAAAAAAAATTGGAATCCGGAATTTAACTGTGCTGCCTCAGCTAGATGAATCAGAAAAACCTGTCCCCTTAAAGTTAATGGGGATTTGCTGCCAGTTGAAACGTGTACGGTAAAAGATTACGGCCCAATGCAAGTCTGATGTCATGTACTTACCAAAGCCAGGGACTCGGATACCTCTCTCCTCCCGCCCTCCGATTACACTAAAATTCACAGTGTAGTTGGGTTTGGGTTGTGTGCCCAACTTGGCTTGTTCCGGAGGTTTGGGCTGGGGTGAAGGTTGCCATGAAGTGCCGGTGGTTTGTGGCTTGCTTGTTTGCCACTGAGTCCCCGCTGATTTTTGAGCTGACTTGGACGCAAAACTGCCAGCTGAGAATCCTCCACTAGATGTTCCTAGATAAGAAACAATTGGACATTTTAATAAACTAAATTATGCTTGAGTCAGAAGGGAAACCTTTCCAAGAGCAATTCTATCATGACATTAGTAAGGAAGGTGTTCTTAAATGTAATTCAAAAGCAGCACCCTGAGCCAAAACCATTAGTAAAAAGTACGGCAAGATCTTTCAACGGTCCAAACTGCAAATATCAGTGACTGCAAGTACTGATATGCTATATAGGTAATCCTCAATTTACAATGACAACTGAGCCCAAAATTTCTGTTGCTAAGTCAGATAGTTGTTTTGCCTCATTTTATGACCTTTCTTCTTGCAGTTGTTAAGTGAATCTGGCTTCCCCATTGACATTACTTGTCAAAAGGTCGCCAAAGGGGATCACATGACCCTGGGACACTGCAACCATCATAAATATGAACCAGGTGCCAAGTGTCCGAATTTTGATCATGCTGTAATGGTTGTTAAGTGTGAAAACAGTCCGAAGTCACTTTTTTCAGTGCTGTTGTAACTTTGAAGAGTCATTAAATGAATGGTTGTATGTCAAGGACTATCTGTAGTCTAAGCTAGCCTGGAGAGACACAACATAAAAGCTTGCAGTAACTCTTTAGTGCTGCTCTTTAAGTTAAATGGTGGAAAGCATACAAACTTTCTTTCTGGGGAAGGGAAGGGAAGGGAAGGGAAGGGAAGGGAAGGGAAGGGAAGGGAAGGGAAGGGAAAACAGAGGGCCAGATGCCTGAGGAGCTCAAACTGGGAGAAGTTACTGACATCACACCTGTTTGTGAATAGAACCTCCAATACCACCAGCCATTCCAACAAGAAACTGAACAAAATTATGGCACACACCAAAATGCATGGCCATATTTGGGAAATTGCAAGTTGCCTGAATACAAACAAATAAATAAAGTGTATTCTTTTTTTCAAAATGAAGGATGACTTATCATTGGCATCAGATTTTTGTAAGTGAGGGTTGCACATGTACATATTTAGATAGCATATTTAGAAGTAGGGGTAGCCAACGTGGTATCCTTCCAATGTTTGGACTACAGCTTTATCAGCCAACATGGTCAATGCCAAGGGAATGTGAGAGGTGCTGTTCAAAACACCTGAAAAATGCCCACCCTCACAGAATAATAATCCTCATACTAGTATTACATTTTTATTACTTTTTTCAGAAAGGAAAAATGCACGGTTGCACGAAGAGAACAACAGTCTAATAACAAAATCATTAGGAGTCCTGTGCTGAGCTGGCAGGATACAAATGTAATAACTGGTAAGTAAAGATTAAATGAAATGGTGCAAAAAAAAAAAAAAAAAGGCTTTCTGTGCAGGAATTGCTCATCTAGTAATCGGGCCCCAATTCTTCTGACTGTCAGAGTTATTTGGAGAGGCAACTCCGTTATTTGTATCTCCTTGAGATCCGCTGGACGTGTTCCAAATCTTTCCTTAAATATGAACAAGGAGGATGGAAAAGAGAATGGGGAACTAACTGGGAAGTAGTCCTTGACTTACAACAGTTTATTTAGTGACTGTTCAAAGTTACAACAGCACTGAAAAAAGTGATTTATGGCCATTTTTCACATTTATGAACATTGCAGCATTCCCATGGTCACATGATCAAAAAATCAAATGCTTGGCAACTGACTCATATTTATGACGGTTGCAGTGTCCAGGGTCATGTGATTCCCTTTTGCGACCTTCTGACAAGCAAAATCAATGGGGGAACCAGGTTCACTTAACAACCGTGTGACTAACTTAACAACTGCAGTGATTCACTTAACAACTGCGGGAAAAAAAGTTGCAAAATGGGGCAAAACTCACTTAACAAATGTCTTGCTTAGCAACATGCATTTTGTAAAACTGTGATCGTACGTTGAGGACTACCTGTGCACCGTTGATTTTGTGGCCTTTCTAGAGACATTACAATGCTCCTGACGTAAGTCATCCAGCCTAGTTTCACAGAGGACTATGGAGGGCTTTCATCAAATTACTTTTTAAATACCCTCTTCACCCGTCAAGCAGCCACAATGACAGGTCTGGCTGCTCTCTCTTCTAACTCAATTTCAGGTCTGTCCCACCGGTCTGTCAGATTGACCCTCTCTCCATATCTTTCGCACGGATTCTGGTTCAAAGGGTGGACCAGACTCAGCTCTCCATTTTTTGAAATTAAAGGGCAAGGGGGGGCCTCAAAGGAGCACCAAAAGATGAAAAACAACAGCACCGAATAATTTCACAGAACCGGGGAAAACTCCTCTGGAAGAGAATCAGAGTGAAGGCTACAAACTGTAGCAGCAGGTGGCTGAAGTCAAATGGGAAATGTACCCTTAAAATAAAAACGAGTGGTGAGTAACAACTATGGCCTTTCATTAGCTTTATACCAACACTTACCTGGAAGGCCACTTCTCAAGTTTGCAAGGTCAGCAAAAGGGTCAAGATTCTGTGATTTTGCTTGATTGGAGGAATGACCCAAGGAGCCACTCGCTGGCCCTCCTGATGTGAAAGCTGGGCCTGTGCAGTAGTAAATGCAAACACTTGGTTGTTGTTGTTTTTTAACAGCAACTATTCATTTTGGGACCTGTTTGATACCTTTTCCAACCACAGCCAGCGTCCACTGGCTTTTTCATAGCTTCCCCCCAGTCTGTAAGTAAGTTGGGTTGTTGCCATTATTGTAATCCATGTTAATAGGCAGTTATCAGATTGAACATATTAGTGGATGCTAAGTATACAAATAAACATTCAGAGAGAGAAGAGAGAGAGAGACTGACTGACTGACTTGTGCTATGAGTTTGTGGATAGGTCCGGAGTGGCAAGTAACAGAGATGAAATATATGAGACCCACCCAAAGCAAGCCTCAAAACCAGAAGAATCTTTCTAGTAGATGGTAGCATGTCGAAAAGCATCAGAATGAAGGTTTTTATAAAGTCAGAACAAGGTAATCAAAACAAGACACAGTATTCCCAACAACAGATAGCTTCCACTTGTAAATATATGAGAATAAAGTATCGTGCTGGTATTGGCCAAATCTTGTTGGAAGTTAGGTAAGTGTATGGAAACTGCTGTTCTTCAAGTAATCCCTTGGATATCATGAACAACAGCTGTGCCATCTTCAAGTTTAGGAAATTTAAACATAATCTCAGCTAGACTTCTGAAACTGGTATATAGGGGATGCGTGAATGTGTGTGTAAGTGAAGGTTTTAATTCAAAAAGTTAATGTGGATTTATTTCTGTGTGTCCCAATTCTTTCTAAAAAAAAAAAAAAAAAAAGAATAACAAGACCAGAATTGTTATTAGGACTCCTTTTTGTGAAAAGACTACAATTCTCCAAATCCCCAGGTAGCATCCAGAAGCAGAGACACTCTTAATATTATGGGATCCATTAACCCATGATTGCTGTGGAAGCAGTTTTGGTAGCAGATTAAATGATATAATTGGTGAAAATCAACCATGCTTTTATAACGCAGGAGAAGGGAAAATACAAGCCAGAGTAAAGCATCTCAGTTCAGAAAGAACCTTGCCCATGTAACTTTGACATTGAACAAATCCGATTGGCACATTGGATTAATTTGCTTCCTTACATCGAGGGATTAACTGAGATGCTTCACAAGGGCTCAGTTTATTCTTTAGGATGCAGGTAGGGAAGCTGTAGAAACCAACGTCTTTTATTGTCTATGCATGATACTCTACTGTTCGATTCATTTCATTCTAATTTCCTTTAATGACCAAAATAAGATGTCATGCTTCATCTTTGATTTTCCTGCATGCTGCTGGTTTTATCTTGAAATTGCAACAGCAGTTCAAAAAAAAAAAAAAAAGTCTTCTATTAAGACCACAATGAGAAAGAGTGCCAGAAAGCAAACTTGGCAGGGCATAAGATATGGACCAAGGTAGCCAATTGACCCTGCCTGCTTATGCCTGAATTTTTCACCATCCACGTATAATGAAGTTTCACTTTCAGTTCTAAAACATACAACTCTAGGTGAAGGCTGTTGCCAATTCTCCTTTTATTATGCAACCACCATTTAGGTCTGAATATATTCTACAAATTGCAGCAGAATGCAATCTTAGCAATTGCAAACATGAAAGCTTACTGGCCCTTGCTATCGCTTTTCGAAAACAAAATCCAAACTGGCTATACAGCCAAGTGTTTCGTGCAGATATATTTTAAAGGCACTGCATTATAAAGCTGTCAGGTCTCGCGACACTATCTCACATTACTATTAGCTTTGCCTACTTGCTTTTAGCAGCTAAAAATGCAAGTGACAGCTTCATACCATACCGTCCAAAGTTGATTTCTTAGGCGCTGTTGGGACAGTGCTGTCAGTCCAAGAATCCCAGCCACCTAAAAGGTCTGGCTGGCTTGCTGAGGAAGTTATTTTAGGTGGTTCTGGGGCCAAATTGCCTAAAAGGACATAAATCAGAATCCATATGTTAGGGTAAAGGCATGCAAAAAATTGCATAAACTTAACATCCAGCAGATCAAGAGCTGGTGCAGTGGTTAGAATGCATTCATCATCTTTTAACAACTCCATAATCCCTTGCAGGGTGGAGTCTGGCCAATTGAATAGAGCTAGCAGAGTATTTACCAGCCAGATGCCCTTCCTGTCACCAATGAGGAGTTTTGTTCAGTAGATATATTCTCACTATGCCCAGAGACAGAAATATCTGCCTCTACCTAGGATCGAACTCACAGCCTCCTGATTGTGAGGCGAGAACTCCATCTCTAGGCCACCGCACCACTCCGAGTGGTTAGAATGCATTATTGCAGACTAATTCTGCTGACTGCCAGTAGTTCAATCTGACCAGCTCAATGTTGACTCAGCTTCCCATCCTTCCAAGGTCGGTAAAATGAGGACCCAGATTGTTGGGGGCAATATCCTGACTCTGTAAACTGCTTAGAGAGGGCTATAAAGTACCATATAAGTGCTATTGCTATGAAAATACAGTTAGGACATTGGATTTTTCTCCTTTAGATTTGAACTCAACTGGCACTCTTGCTCTCCATCTATTTGCAAACAGGTGCTAAGAAACAAAAAACCCCTCCCCTAATATTTTCACTGCCTGGAAGGGTTAAAATCTCATACATGGTAAGCAGCAATAGATAACTTTTCCTAAATTCCTGTTCATGGCATGCATGGAAGAAAGGATTAGCTGAGTTCCTCCAAAGGCCATGCAGCAAAACATCATCTCTGAATAAGGACACGAAGCACTGATTTTCCGCCATCCCAAAGCACATGCATTCTCTGCTTGCCTCCGAAGTTCATAAACCAGGTTAAATCAAACAACTTTATTGGTATTAACTCAGGGGTGAAATTCAGCAGGTTCTGACAGGTTCTGGAGAATCGGTAGCAGAAATTTTGAGTAGTTTGGAGAACCGGCAAATACCACTTCTGGCTCGCCCCCGAGTGGGGTGGGAATGGAGATTTTGCAATATCCTTCCCCCAGGAGTGAGGAAGGAATGGGGATTTTGCAGTATCCTTCCCCTGGAGTGGGGTGGGAATGGAGATTTTGCAGTATCCTTCCCCTGCCATACCCACCAAGCCACACCAGAACCGGTAGAGAAAAAATTTGAATTTCACCCCTGTATTAACTGCTATATCCAACAGCTTAGTGAATTATGAATAAAGAAGCATGAACAGGAGTGTGATAGGGAAGAGTTAGGCATGTGTCTTCATATAGTGCTTGTAAGCATCCAGGAGAAATATGAGGAGGTGCCGCTGAATAAAACTGATCCCTGAACTAAACTAGCAGGTCTCTTTTGTTATCAAAACAGTAACCCTGAAAATAAGGAAGTCACGCCTTGCTAGCATTCCAACTTAGTGTTTCTCAACCTCAGCCACTTCAGGAAGTGTAGACTTCAATTCACATTATTCTCCAGCCAGAATTCCCCAGAATTCTGGGAGTTGAAGTCCACACATCTTAAAACTGCTGAGGTTGAGAAATACTGTTCTAGTAGAAGACTCTGCTTTGGAAACTGAGCAGGTAGTCCTCGACTTATAACAATTCATTTACTGACCCTTCAAAGTTAAAACATCACCAAAAAAAGTGACTTACGACCATTTTTCACACTTACAACTGTTGTAGCATCCTCATGGTCACAACAATTTACATTTGGATGCTTAGCAACTGTCACATTTATGATGGTTGCAGTGTCCCAGAGTCAGGTGATTGATCTCCTTTTGTGACCTTCTGACCAGCAAAGTCAATGGGGAAACCAGATTCACTTAACAACCCTGTTACTTATTTAATAGCTGCAGGGATTCACTTAACAAATATAGCAAGAAAAGCCGTAAAATGGGGCAAAACTCACTTAACAACGTAAGTTTTGGGCTCAATTGTGGTCGTAAGTTGAGGACTCCCTGTGCTGCAGATACAGGAATTGACAAGCTGTTACACATTGACTACGGTATTCCTTTATATGTTCATCTATGGCTGGCTTTAAAAAACAAATTCCTCTTTGTGTTGGATTTTATCAAAACGCTAATTAGCCATGCCAATGAGTATTCAAAAGCTTTGCTATTTATAAGCTCCCAGAAAGGTTCGCTGCATTGTAAAATAAACAAATAAACACTGCAGTTAGGTCTTTAACGGAAGTTAGGATGTTGCTAACCCAAATCAGGATATTTACTGCATATTAAAACAAATCATAGTATCACTTTAGCAGGTATGCTGATAAAATGTTACAGTGCTATTCAAGTGTGCTATTTTGATACAGGAATATTAAATTAAAAGTGGACAATCCGGTGCAATACATACACTCTATAATCATCCAGCTAATGATGAGATTAGCCCAAAATAGCTAGCTTGCCTTCCTGTGTATGAAATCATGATCTTTTAGAGTGCAGACCTAAATATACCCACAGTTATGGGTATATTTAGGCCTGCATTCTAAAACACCATGTTTTCTGACTGTGAAAAAAGGATTTTTTCCCCCTTCATTTCTGAGTAGGCATTAAAATAGCAATGCAGGCATGAGGAGCTCCTTGATGTTACCAGTTTAAACGTCTATCTGAATATTTGAAACCTTAGAATATCTTATCAAATTGCTTTTGATAAGGACCTTAAACAGCCCCAAATTACCAGAAGAAAAGCTCTGTTAAGGCAACTGCAGAACCTTATCATCACCATGAACACCACCTAGCCCAGCCTTATCCTGTGCTCACACCACACATACACCTTCTCCAAATAGTTTTAACTACAATTTCCAGAAGTCCTGCATATCTGGAATGTGTATGCCAAGATGGGAAAAGTTTCAATAAGGAAGTAGACATTGTCATAGTGCTGCCATGTCGCACTCAATACTAGGTTTCTTCAACTTATTTTTTTTGCCATAATTATGGCTGGGAAAAGAGTTCTCAGTCCTTCACTTGAGGAACTGGGAAAGAGCAGGGCAGAGAATATAAAATGGTGTCCAATACAATTGGATCCACACTGGGTCTTACAAATATAAGACCCTGTCTTATATTTTTTTGAACCCCGAAATAAGCCCTTGGCCTTATTTTCGGGAAGGTCTTATTATTTTGGGGTGCATGGAGCAAGACAGGGCTCCTCTTGCCATCTTACCTGATTTCCAGCTCTGCATTTAAATATTTTCAGGGAGGGCTTATTTTCGGGGGGAGGCTTATTTTAGAGCATGCGCTCAAAAGCCCGATTGGGCTTATTATCAGAGGATGTCTTATTTTCGGGGAAACAGGGTACTTAGCAGTCAAGGCAAGAGCAGAAAAGTGTATTTCATGGGGAAAGATAGACATTTCATATTATGAGATATTGAGACCTGCACTGCCCTCACCCCGTTGTTGTTGTTTTTTAAATGATGATTATTTGGAGAGTGCAGAGTTTCAGATTAGATCCCCAAAAGTTGCTTTGGAACAGGCCGAGCAAAATGAGCCTGTCTGCAACAAAATAGCTGTATTTTTTTTTTCCTGGGATTAAATCATCTTTTGGAAAGTGAATTTGAAGTGCTCCGCAGTCGTAAAGATTACTGTGCAATCTCAGTATAATGGATTTGTCAATTGAAGCATCCTACATAGAATCCAAATGTCTAATACATGAAAACTCCTGCTCACAATAACAGTTAAAATGCCTGCTAAACTAGCATAACTCAAATATTTTATAAAGCACTTGTAAAAGATGTACAGCCAGTTTGGTGTAGTGGTGAAGGCATTAAGCTAGAAACTGGAAGACTGAGTTCTAGTCCTGCCTTAGACTCAAGGCCAGTTGGATGACCCTGAGCCAGTCACTGTCTTTCACCCCTAGGAAGCAGACAATGGCAAAGCAATTCAGAAAAAAACTTTGCCAAGAAAACTTGTCCAGGCGGGGTCAAAACCAGGAATCAAAACTGACTCAAAGACACAAATAAAAGTATAAATAACTGAACTGCTATTTGTTGTTAACACAGGCAGGTATCAGATACTACAAAACACCAGGCATTATGTCTATATTATTAGCCGCAACTGTCAAACTTCTAGTTGCTACTGTACAAACAGATGTCTTCTGCACTCAGAAGGTCCTTTAATTCTGTAACTAAAGATTTCCTCAAAATAAGATACAAGTTTGGCATGGCATCAGATTTAAGCTAGCCTCAGATCCATGTTTAGCATCTCTTAATTAGCTAGAAAAGTCATCAGAATTCAATTACAGAGCTGCCTGCTTGCATTAAATCACTATCATCTTTTGACTCCTTAAGCTCCTTCTATAGATCACAGGGCCTCTCTTTTTAGAAATTTCATTATCAAGATCTTTCCTAAAACTTTTCCAAGTCAAACAGGCAGGTTCACAAATGCCTTGTTTTGAAAGTCTAAACTTCTTGCATTTGAACAGAGACTCAATTAAACAAACCAAAAAGACATAGCCGATGGCTCAGTCATATAGAACAGGGGGGCCCAACCCCTGGTCTGTGGCCCATTTGCAGGAGCCGCGGAAATGGTGGGTAAGCATGCATGTGTGTGTGCGCAGCTGCATTTGTGAAAGCAGCACACGCACACACGTGAAACCATCCCCTCTCCACCCAACCCTCTGCTACCACTGTCTATGCCGGTCCGTTGAGCCGAAAAGGTTGAGGAACACTGATATAGAACAATATAGTTGAGAACGAAAAGAGGCTTCATTAATCAGTGACAGAAGCAATAGTTTTGCACCCATGTTCAATATACATAATTGTCTCATTTAAGGATCACAGATTCAGTTTGTAATTGAAAGCTTTCTAACTTTAAAAAAATTATAAATATGTACACTTTTTAAAGAAGTGAATACTGGGAATATATTGCAGATCAAGTACATTAATGTGTAAAATTAAAGCTAGAAGCATCTTACAAGGGATACTGTGCTCTTATTGCTATAACTTAAGTCTGAATATAGATTCCTTCTAGTTCTCAGTTGCATCAACTTTTGGTTTTATACCAC